CGGGGCTGCGTCCCCAGCACCCCGGCCGCCTGCTAGCTTATGCCTGAAATAACAACACACAAACTGTATTCATTTAAACACTGCTTGGCCCATTTCTATCTAGCCTCTTCTAGGCTAATTCTCACATATTAATTTAGCCCATCTCTAATCATCTGTGTGTAGCACCCCAAGGTGCGCTTACCGGGAAGATTCTAGCCTATGTCCATCCTGGGTCGGAGCTTCATCGATTGCGTCTCAGAGAGCAGAGCTATCGCATCTCTCCGGGAGAGGGGAGCATGGTGTCTCTGCTCCAGAGAGCAGAGCTGTCGAGTCTTCGCTCACTTCCTCTTCCTCCCAGCATTCTGTTCTGTTTATTCCTCCCACCTATGTTTTAACCTATGAGGGCCAAGTAGTTTCTTTATTGCTTAACCAATGAAATCAACAGATTGATATATGACACTCCCACATCACTTCCCCTTCTTCTGTTTAAACAAAAAAAGGAAGGCTTTAATTTTAACATAGCAAAATTACATATAACAAAACAGTTATCAAGTAAAAATTGCAATATTTATATCTATTTTATCTTTATCATAACTAAGGAAAACTATAACTAACTATTCTTAACTCCATCAAAGACTCCAGAAAGATACAATATTACCTAAGCAAACAAGAAATAAGCAAACTCTAGAAATGACAGAGACATCTCGCTGCCTGGACAGTCACCCAAAGTTCTTTTATACCGTTGGGGCATCCATCTTCAGCCTTCAGGCCCATAGTATCCAGCAGACATTTCCATGATGCAGGAAATTTCAAAGACAGTTCAGTCACTTTCTGCTGTGTCCTGCAGAATGTCTCATAGACTCTTTCATAGATCAGGAACCCCGAAAGATCATCTCACCTTTAGGCAAGTTCAGCAGTCCTCTCTCTGTGGGTTCTTTGTGTCCAGTTTATGCAACAGTTCAGGCAAGAACAGTTTCTTGCCCAAATGGCTACCAAACTCCATAAGGTGCCTCTCTGATGCCCATCTTCTTCTTGAAGTAGATTGGTGCTGCCAGGAGCAGACTGTTTCATTGTCATGAAAAGCCCTAAGTTATTAAAACATTTAAAATGGCATATTCTATAATCTTTGAAAAATATGAAGAATGCTTATCTAAAATATATCTATGTACATCTAGAAAATCTTAACTAACATGACTACAAACTTGACTATTATGATTATCAACTACCTATATACATTACATTTTTAAATGAACTTACCTTACCTTATCACAATACCTTAATAAAGATCAGAAATACATATACATATAACAAAATTGACCTTAAATCTCTATCAATAAAGCAAAATCTATACTAATGCAAATTATTCATACCTATATCATATCCCCCTTTAAATGTAAAAGAAAATTTATAAACAATTTTTGGGAATATGGGTGCAGTTATTTCTCCCCAAACTGCTTCCTGCTGAATGGGGGCGTCATTAATTAGGTCTTTTATGGTATAACCTGTGTGCTATTTTCATCTCAGTTGGTAGTTGAGCGAAACAATTTTCTGAAGATGTTCACAGCAACCCTTCAGGAGGGCGTGGTCCATCATACCATATCAGAATAGAAGAAATGAACAGGGTCTCATCCTCTGTGAAAACAAAATAAGAAACTCCTTTCCAAAGCATCATGTCCTTAGATCCAAATTTCAAAGTCAAGGCATTTTCAAAATATCTATGTTGGATTAGTTCAGCAGCATTTATAAATAAATATCTTTTAGCAGCTGTTGCTCTTTCCTCAGCATTCAAATAATTCAAAGAGAGCATAATAGCATACAGTATCAAAATTCTCTGTGTATTTTCCATCTTTGTGTGCCTTATTTTAACCTCTATTTTGTTAATTTTTACTTTTATTTTTTGCTTTTTGAGACAGGTTCTCTGTATCTTTGACCTGGAATAACTCTGTAGACCAGGCTGTCCTTGAACTCTCAGAGATCCACCTGTCTATGCCTCCCAGGCATTGGGATTAAAGGCGTATGCTTACTATACCTTGAACTCACAGAGATCTGTTTGTCCCTGCCTTCTAGGCACTGGGATTAAAGGCGTGTGCTACCACACCTTAAAGTCACAGAGGTCAATCTCCCTCTGCCTTCCAAGTGTTGGGATTAAAGGTGTGTACTACCACACACAACAACTCTCTTCCTTTTTTTTTTTTACTTTAAGAACTTCAACTTTTAGCTTGCATATATTTTCAACACACTGTAAACCATTTAGAAATTTTCTTTGTCTTTGAATCTCTCTTTACTGTATATCTCTCTTTTTCTGACCAAATGAGTCTTTAATTTACCAAGCAATATCAGTAGGACTAAAGCCGTGGCTTTGCCGGCTAGATCCAGTCCATTCCTTAGCTTTCCAGCCTCATGGCTGAGGTACTGGCTGTAGCCATGTTTACTGCCACAACTCTATGGCATTTCAAGGTCCCTGCCAGCAAGTAAGTTGCAGCATTATGTCCATAGACAACACACAAGTCCTCTCTCTGTAGCTGGCCCTCCTGTCTCAAACAGTTAGAGTTTGCCCTGGCAGGACGGCCCAGAAACAACAAGGTTTTTTCCTGCTGCTGAGTCAGAAAAATTTCAAAATGGAGGACGTACCATGTTGTGCTAGCTCTGGGGCTGCCAGGTAGGAGCGGCACTCAGCACTTTAATTCTGAGACTGAGCGTGCAGCACAGAAATTCTTTTCATCCAAGTTACATCCAAATCTGACACGCAGAGCACTGCACAGTCTAAAAACACGTTTTTTGGAGCCTGTCCTGGAACTAGCTCTTGTAGACCAGGCTGGTCTCGAACTCACAGAGATCCGCCTGCCTCTGCCTCCCGAGTCCTGGGATTAAAGGCGTGCGCCACCACTGCCCGGCTAAACTGTATGGCAGCAGGAATCCGCAATGCTCTCCCGCCTGCCTAAGCCTGATTCGGCCATCTGCCCAGGTGCAGGCAGGAGCGCTGAGCCATCAGCACATCTCAGAGCACTCTCCTTCTGATCCCAAGTGGGAACACAAACATCCAGTCCCATAAAATCCATTGAAATGCTTTAAAGCCAGAGTTCACGCTGGCAGCACAGCCCCAAGAAGCTGCGCTTTAAATTGACACCGCGTTTTTTCTGCTGCTGTTGCCGAATCAGGAAATCTCTCTATAGCACGCCACCAACAAACAGCAAAATTCTGTGTTAAACTCTCTCTCCCTTATTTTTAAGCCTTCTCAGGTTTTTAAGTGGATTTAGTCCATCACGTCTGGGCACCAATCTGTAGTAATAGGAGCAGCAGGGCTGCATCCCCAGCACCCCAGCCGCCTGCTAGCTTATGCCCGAAATAACAACACACAAACTGTATTCATTTAAACACTGCTTGGCCCATTTCTATCTAGCCTCTTCTAGGCTAATTCTCACATATTAATTTAGCCCATCTCTAATCATCTGTGTGTAGCACCCCAAGGTGCGCTTACTGGGAAGATTCTAGCCTATGTCCATCCTGGGTCGGAGCTTCATCGATTGCGTCTCAGAGAGCAGAGCTATCGCATCTCTCCGGGAGAGGGGAGCATGGTGTCTCTGCTCCAGAGAGCAGAGCTGTCGAGTCTTCGCTCACTTCCTCTTCCTCCCAGCATTCTGTTCTGTTTATTCCTCCCACCTATGTTTTAACCTATGAGGGCCAAGCAGTTTCTTTATTGCTTAACCAATGAAATCAACAGAAGACTGAAATAAACAGAGGATGTGCCATGCTCACAGACTAGCAGAACTTACTCTTTCAGTTATAAAAACGTGGTGCACACTTTTAATCTCAGCATTTGGGAGGCAGAGGCAGGCAGATCTCTGTGAGTTCGAGGCCAGCCTGGTCTACAGAGTGAGTTCCAGGACAGGTTCCAAAGCTACACAGAGAAACCTTGTCTCAAAAAACTAAAATAATAAATAAATAATTAAATAAAAAATAGAAGACATTTTATGAAGCTCATGTAAACAGATCCACACACAAAGAAACTGGGGGCAATAATGTTCTAAGACAATACAAAAAGGATTTTCCTGATAAGTAGGGGCAAATCAACTGAATACCATTGGGGTAAGTATTTTTCTTTTACCTCATACCTATTCCACATAGATTATAAATCTGTAAGTGAAACACAAAACAAAACAGCTTTTAGAATATAATAGATGAGAATGTTCTCATGACCTTGGATATAATTGATGACTTCTTTGAACAGAAAAAATCCCACACAATACAAAGAAAAGCATTAATAAGCTGAACTATATGAGAATTAAGAAATTGTGCTTTAAGAGTCTGCTATCAACATGAAAAGACAAGATATTGGAGGAACCAATGAAAAGGCACATGAGGCAGAACAGCACGACAGTGAAAGCAGGGGAGGACATGGGTTCAGGGCAAGATAGAACCCCTAGAATATGCCTCACCCCTAGAAAATATGAAATATTTTCTCTAGGTAGTACACATGACCTAAAATTGCCAGAACATCCCAAAATAAGTCCATCACCTGGGGACCAACCCTATGGGAAAACATTTCACATTCGAATCTAAGAACAATCTATTGAGGAGACGCAATGGTTATAAAAATGTATGAGTTAGGGGGCTGGAGAGATGGCTCAGTGTTTAAGAGCATTGCCTGCTCTTCCAAAGGTCCTGAGTTCAATTCCCGGCAACCACATGGTGGCTCACAAACATCTGGAATGAGGTCTGGTGCCCTCTTTTGGCCTGCAGACATACACACAGACAGAATATTGTATACATAATAAGTAAATAAATATTAAAAAAATGTATGAGTTAGATACAATAAGGTCAATGGATTTAACAAATATCTACACAATATTCCATACAATAGTAGCAAAATATGTGTGCTTTTAATCAACACATAAACGCTACTTTTCACAATATATTTGAGCCATTAATATAAGCTTTACACATATAAAAATAAGAAAGGAAGAAAAGGAAGTGAAAGAAAGACTATAGGCCAAAATATAATCTTTGATAACCCTTTATTATCTTTGAAATTAATTAGGAGCAAAAATTCCTAATATTATACTTGCAAACTGAACTCAGAACTATACCTTAAAAAAGCATCCAACATGATTAAGTCAGTTTCACCTCAGGGATGTTAGGATGGTTCTGCATTTGTAAATCAATACATTTAATACAGTATAAAACAGAAGGAAGACAAAAGTGGCATGATCATCCAATCAATGCAGAATAAACCCTGGAGATAAAATTATATCATTTGGAACAAATTGAAAGAATGAACCTGAGGTCATCCTGTTAAGCAGAAAGACACTGAAAAGAAAGTATTGTATGTTTTGTCTCATTGCGTATGAACTATAATGATCTTTTAAAACACCTACACTAGTGGACGGGCTACCAGAGAGGCAAGGCACTGGTGAAGAGAGGGTGGATGAGATTCAGATGCAATATACACATGCACGGAAATATCACAACGAAGTAATGTGTCACTGCAATAAAGGTTCTACTAGAAATCTGAAGAAGAGGGAGGAAACACTGCAGTATTTATCCTCAGGCAGTTCTTCTGTAAGGTAAACTAGTTCCTTTAGCTTCGTGACCGTGACCGATGCTGTGCCCCTCCCTCTAGGATCACTGCCATCATCAGGAATGCAGAATAAGCTGAATGAATAAACTTGCTGCATTTCTCACTTCTGAGATTAGTCTTATGCATATTTTATTTAAACACTTTTCCATACTTAGGATAAGGAATCAATCTATTGCTTGCCATGTGTCAGGGTTTCCTCAAAGGGCATTTTAAATTAAAACATGTAGATTATTGACTATATTAGACATGTTACTGACTTTTTGTGTGTAGCTGCTAGTATCTTAAAAAGAAACATTACTTTTCAACATTTTTTATTGATACAGGCAGTCTGTGTTAATGCCGTGCTGGCAAAGATAAAGAACATTTTCCAAGAAGAAGAATCCCTAAGGCAAAACAGAGAGAGTGAGAACTTTAGGAAAGCCTTTTCTGAGCCTGCGCTTCCACAGCCCATGTTCTCGGAAGGTGAAATCACAGCGAAACCTTACAGATCACTGCCGGAGAAGCCGGACCACCTTGCGACTCTCACTAAGCCTCCTGCCAACAAGCAGAGTAACAAGATCCAGGTTTTACACTCTGTGTTTGACCAATCACCTGAACTGAATGAATGAGAGATCCAGAGACAAATACCACTCCAGAGAGCTTAGCAGTCATCCATCCATGGGAACATCTCATCAGACAAAACCAGAAGACTAGTTTTCATATGCTGAATGCTCTTTTTAAAGGGGCAGAGCAGGGAAAATGATGACATCATTCTCTTGTATTTATACGGCATACAGAATAAAAGGAAACGACGTAGAAGAAATGTCTGACTACCCAGTATTTTTTATTTTTTTACATATTTTACATAGTAAATGTGCAGGTACCTAAACAGGCCAGAAGAGAGTGTCAAATCTCCGGGAGCCACCTGACAAGGATGCTGGAAACCAAACACAGGTCCTCTAGAAGAACAGAACATGCCCGTAACCACTGAGCAACTTCCCTGCCCTGACTATACAATATTTTTAACGAATAAGAGAATTCATATTTTGTTGGGCTAGAGTTTACACTGTTTATAATATTGATGTATTCCTAATTCATTTATATTTTTAATTAAGAATTATTCTAAATGCTTATTTGGAAAGGAAAATTTCATAACTAAAAGTTATACATTTTGAGGCTGAAGAGATGGCTCAGTTAAGAGCACTTGCTTCTCTTACAGAGAGGCCAGATTCGGTTCTTAGCACCCACAACTGTTTGCAACTGCAGCCCCTGGGGATCTACTGCCCTCTTCCGGCTTCTGCATACCAGATGGAGTGTGGTGTGCATACATACAGGCAGACAAAAACTTTATTTAAAAAATGCTACACTTTCAGAGATAGTAAAAACTGTATTTCTTTATATTTACAGGCAGAGTAGCCAAGTCTCTCTACTGATTTTATAAGTCATTTGTAAAGTTATGAAGGACTTGAAATTCAGATGCCATAAATTTATAAAAAAATTGCATATCTGATAAGACAGAATGATAAGGTGAGGTTGTTATCTATTAATGGAGTTTGGTCATATCCTCATTCCGGCTATGAATTCCTGGCTCAAATGATTGTCCTGCCTCAACCTCCTGAGATGCCAGGAGTACAGGGTCACAGCACTGAACCTGGCAAAGTGATCACTTTTATTTCCAAATTTAAAGATAAAAATTTAGAACAAGACTCCATATTGTCCATCACTGCCATTGGCTCCTGACAGAAATGCTGCTATTCTTGGTCGCCTAAACCAAGTCCTAGATTTGCTGAATGGCGCAACTTCAGTTGCTTTCAAGCACTTTATATTCTAAGATATGATAAGATTTGTGAATATCCAAGAAATAACAGGCTGGTATGAACTCTGCCCAGAGATGGCATATTTTCTGAACCCAGAGAGTAACTGTTGATGGAAACATTGTTGAAATGTCCAAGTCTGGCTTGTTAGTGTTCTCAGAAATGAGTAACTTTTGTGATGTGACCCATATCCCAAAAGAAAAGGAAATGTACTACTATACAGCAGGAGGTCCAAGCACCCGTGAGTCACTAGGTGGGTGCCGCGGCCCACACTGCAGTCCCCTGTGCGAGAGCAGTGAGTGCTGCTAGCCAGTCGTCTCTCCGGGGCTCCTGGCTCATTTTCACAACAACCCAGTGAAAGAATCCAGGTGAAGGAGAACGTTAAGCACTAGGTATAGACACTTAATTCACCCTGCATCATGAAAATTACTATGTTTGAGACTTAGTTTTATTTTTAACAGTCTCACCACGAATTCATAACCTACACACCCTTTTTGGCCCCATTTACACCTACATTTTACTGAGTGAGTGCTAAGTTCTGCATGACAGACACCAGGGTGCTGCTCTATATGCTCAATAAAAAGCACGATATGGGTCCTAGGCAGTCAGAGCAGCAGTGGCCACAAATTACTGGTGTAGTAAGGTCAGGGTAAACCAAGAGAACATCAGTCTGCTTGTAAACTCTGAGGAACAAATACTACATACACATTTATGGGAATCTGTACACACACACACACACACACACACACACACACACATGCATGCACATGCAGGCACGCACACACACACGCACGTGCACACACACACACACACACGCACACACGCACATGCCGGGTGCGCGTGCGCACACACACACATGCACGTACGCACAAACTGTTCTCCAAAATTCTTTTAAACTTCTATTTGAAAGTTTCATGCAAACAAAATACTTTGGTTCCTAAGAGACTTTGCTAACGTGGGTGGTTTTTTAAATTCAGAAATTAGCCCTGTTAAGAGACAAGTCAAACCAAGTTTTATTTGGTTTTGACATCTAGCACCCTCCTTCTCCCTCTCCTGTAGGGTCTCACTATGGAGCTCTGGCTGCCTGGAGCTCACCGTGTAGACCAGACTGGCCTCAAAACCACAGAGATCCACCTGCCTCTGCCTCAGAATGCTGGAATCAGAGATGTGTACCAGTATGCCTAGTTTTAAGTTTCTCATTTTTAAGTTCAACACATACATTGGCCTCATTAGAAGCAATTTTGACATATAAATAAATGTCTGCTAAACATTTGTAAGCAAAAGTATACAATTAAAATTTGAGTGTCTCAGTATACCTAATTTTACTTTTAAAACTGTAAAAACCATAATTTAAAACAGGAGGCAGATAATTTGTGGACAAAGCAACACAAGAACAGAAGAATGCTGGGAACCATAGAAGAGAGGGATGGAGGCCATTCTTTGACTGTTCCCAAATAAACCTGCGGATTTAAAGAAATCTTCTCCCACTTCAACTTTTCCTGTTACACCTTCTGTTTTATCTGTTACTGACCTTGTAACCTTCCTAACTGGATCATCTGAGCCTCTAAAGGACAGATTCCAATCAGTCCAGAGAGGGATGGGATGTATTCTGTCGACCTTCAGTGGCCCAGAGTCATACTAAAGTAAACGTGATTTCAAAACCACCAAATCCAGGACTTTAAAAAATACTTGCTTTTATTTTTATTTATGAGATGTGTGCTGGTGCCCACACAGGCCAGAAGATTCCCTGGAGCTGGAGTCAGAGGCGACTGTGAGGTGTGAGGGTGAGGAAGAAGAGCAAGAGCTCTGAGCCACTGGCCCATCTGCAGGCCCTGGAAAAACCGGTGGTTTTTAAAGTTACATGTACCTATGTTGGAAAAAAATTATCTTTGGTACTGGAACAAAATAACTGTAAAATATTTTTAAACATACACGTAATTTTGCTGCCATATGTATTTTTTAATCAGGAAGAACTCCGAATCACTTTGAATTCACCAGTAGCATAATAATCAGAGTCACATTTAAAAGGCTCCTTAGAAAGTGTCACATAAATGTTGCCATTGTCCACTGTCACAGTGTGTATCCTTTGCTTTATTCCCTTGGAGCACCACTCAGGTCTTGCTGATGGGTCTTTAGGGTTTATAGACTGGTATAATCCTTCTCCTGTTGCCAAAGTGATTTTGTATTTATGCCAGGGGCAAACTATACATGGTTGTCCATTGAAATCCTAGAGGGGAAAAACAAAAGATTTAATAGGCTGACATTACAAGTGTTTAAGATAGGTTTCAGATTTAGTTAAGAATCTAATGCAGGAGAATCGGGTTAAAGAACCACACCAGGCGGACTTGCATGCACTCAGGATCAGAGGATCTTGATGCCAGCCTGGACTACACAATGAGACTGTCTCATAAACAATGAGGAGCTTGCCAGTGGGATGGCTCAGCAGCCCTTGCCACTAAGGCTGATGACTGAGTTCCTGGGAACTCATGTGACGGAAAAAGACAGCCACCTCCACACAGTTACTCTCTTTTTCCATGCACAAATAAGCAAATAAACATTACAAATGTTTATATCAATATATTTAAATAAATACTAAAAAATGTTTATTACAAAAGCAGTGTTTCCCTCTCCTATTTCCAATTTCCAAGTTATCCAGCCCTAAGCAAAAGGAGGACAATGGAGTTTCTGTTGCCAGCTAGAACTTAGCGGGAGCACCAGCAGAAGAGGGCTGGCTGGCAGAAGACCAAGCTGCCTCTGAGCCACAAAAAAGGGTTGGGGCTTCCAGTGCTGCCAGAGGAATTTTCAGTAGCTTCTAGAAGAATTGTAAGGCCTGGGAGTTACTGAAGGTCTGAGTGCAAATGGCCATGAAATCTGTGGTCCCAACTTTCCAACTGTCCTAAGGAGCATGGGCACCACCTGGATCTGCTTTAACTTTTCAACTGTCCTAAGGACGTGTTGCCAAGCCTTAAGGAGCATGGGCACCACCTGGATCTGCTTTAAACACAGCTGTTTGCTTAACTTCAGGAAGCATTTGTGGGAGTGGGCTTCTACATGTCCAATAGGTACCACTCTGTCAAGAGTGCTGGGCTGTGGCGGACACACTGAGTAGCAAGTTCTTCATGGGCTAAAACCCTCGACAGTTCTACAGTGCTCACATCGGCATGTGCTTTAGTCCTGTACACCAGAAACAGACATGCTAAAGTGGTTCCCACAGAGGTTCCAATAATAAAAATATTGGAAACATCTGAATTTGCTTAGAGTAAATTTAATTTTACATACCTCAATTTCTCCCAAGTGTAAGGGTCCTCCAGAATCTGAAAAGGAATTGATATTATATCTAATCACTAAACTGAACTTTGACAGTTTTGTGATGAACAAGTACAAATTCTAAAACCAAAATCTTACGGTAACAGCGAATGTCCATAGCATGGTATTCCCCTTTGTGGTAGAAAATGACCACTTCTCTGTCATGGACAACAGCTGTCATTCTTTCCGACTTTCTAATGTCATCCTCTCGGCCAACACAGACAGAAGTGTTCTTGTCGTCACCACCTTCTTCAGAGACTTCAGGGTCCATGCTAATTAGTAAGGGGAGAAGAAAGAAAAGAGAGGAAGGGATGTGAGAAAAGGAGAGGAGAGGAAGGAGGAAGGAAGGAGGAAAACACTAGAAGTGGTCCTTTCTAGTATGGACACAACCTATAGATAAATATTGAGTTGTCTGAATTTTTTGAAACTAATGAATGCATTTTTCTACAGCTGTATAGAATGTTGTTGGACTTTTTAAAAAGTATTTATTATGTATACAATGTTCTGTCTGTGTGTGTGTGTGCAGGCCAGAAGAGGGCACCAGACCCCATTACAACTGGTTGTGAGCCACCATGTGGTTGCTGGGAATTGCACTCAGGACCTTTGGAAGAGCAGGCAATGCTCTTAACTTCTGAGCCATCTCTCCAGCCACTGTTGTTGGGCTTTTTAAAAAAATTCTTTGTTCTTTGATCTCTTTTGTCTTTGGGAGGCCACCATTCAGCTCCCAAATAATCACACAGAATCTTATTTTTACTTATAAATGCCTGGCCTTAGCCTGACTTATTTCTAGCCAGCTTTTCTTAAATTGTCACATCTACCTTTTGCCTCTGAGCTTTTATCTTTCTATATTCTACACACCTTTCTTTACTTCTTACTCCATGGCTTGCTGTGTGGCTGGGTGACTGGTCTCTGAAGTCCTCTACCCCATCTCCTTCTCGCTCCTAGATCTCCTCTTCCCGGCTTTCTCCTCCTATTTATTCTCTCTGCCAGCCAGTCCCACCTATCCTTTCTCCTGCCTAGCTTCTGGCTTTTCAGCTCTTTATTAGACCAACTAGGTGATTTAGACAGGCAAAGTAAAACAGCTTCACAGAATTAAACAAATTCAACATAAAAGAATGTAATATATCTTTGCATCATTAAACAAAAGTTCCACATCATAAACAACTGCAACCTATCTCCAGCTAACATTCCACAACAATAGAACACTTGTAAATACTAGATTATAGCTGGTCTTTTCTCTGATTTATGGACCCAACACCACCAAACCAAGGAAAATTCCCCACTATCAGAAAAAGACAGGCAATTTCTGAGCAGCGGCATACAGCCTAAGGCTTCATGCCCTTTCATTCCATATCAAATTCAATATCAAAGAACATCCAGCTGTTCTCTGCACTATTTCTCTCTGTTGAAGGAGTCCGTGGATTCTTGGGTACCCTTGGTGGGTGCCTCACTTGAACACAGTCTTTGTTTACCCCATCAGATAATCACTCTCTGCAAGAGAGAGGTGTGGACAGGTTTTCACACTATTTTCACACATAGACACTAAGATGATTTCCCCCTTTGACACTAAGAGGATTGTAGAGTCTTTTATTCACTCTTTCTATTGTAAGTAACTCAGTGGCTTGTGTATATGTTAAGACTATAGTCACATTCCAGTGATTCCATGTGGGAAGAACCATCATGACATCACGGTTGGGGTGACTTCATAGAGCAATCTCTTCCTACTAGATGTCAATGTATGGGGTCCTGTAGGTACCCGAACTGTTTATTGGAGCAGTTACTTCAATTCCTTTATTCTGTGACAAAATGACAGAGGTTAAAGTGTCCCGGTCACATCTAATCACACTGTTTACAATACCGACAGAGAAGCTTCTTCTTTTTCTTCTTTTTTGTTTGTTTGTTTGTTTTTCGAGACAGGGTTTCTCTGTAACTTTGGAGCCTGTCCATAGAGAAGCTTCTTCTTCTTCTTTTTTTTTTTAATATTTATTTATTATGTATACAATAGTCTGTCTGTGTGTATGCCTGCAGGCCAGAAGAGGGCACCAGACCTCATTCCAGATGGTTGTGAGCCACCATGTGGTTGCTGGGAATTGAACTCAGAACCTTTGGAAGAGCAGGCAATGCTCTTAACCTCTGCTTCTTAAGGAACAACTTTGGTAGTCATCTTTAAAAGCCATCAGAATTACAAATGATGTTATCTTCAGATTCTCCTGAGTTTTCTCATTAGAGATGATCATTTTATGAATGCTTTCTGATCAATGACTATGTGACTGGCACTTCAGGAATTGGGACATGCAAGCTTTCTGCCCTTGTTCTACATGGCTAGACTGATATCAAACAAATATATAAGTAAGAATGACACAAGATGAAATTATATTGGGTGATCTGAGAGAAAGTAACAGGGTGAGGAAATCTTGCAAAGAACCAGACTATAGAGTAAGATAAACTACCCCCCCAAAATGAACAGACTATAGAGTAAGATAAACTACCCCCCCAAAATGAACAGACTGTAGAGTAAGATAAACTACCCCCCAAAATGAACAGACTGTAGAGTAAGATAAACTACCCCCCCAAAATGAACAGACTGTAGAGTAAGATAAACTACCCCCCCAAAATGAACAGACTGTAGAGTAAGATAATCAAACTCCCCCCACCCCAAATGAGTCAGACTTGTGAAGAACTGGTGGGAGAGAATTTCATACTGAGAAAGAATGAAAGCCCAAGGGAAAGAAAAGGCTTAGCTAATTTGATGAACAACAACAACAGACAAACCTGGACAACACTACGCAAGACTAGCTAGCAAGACTAGTTAGGCTGCCTGCATAGAGGTGAAGGACACCACTAGAGGTGACAGAGGGAGGGTAGCCAGTCTAGGGGTACTGGGAGTTTTGCATGTGTTCCTTTAAAAACATTGCTCCAGGGTGACTTGGCCAGAGTGTTCTGAGGTGGGGGGAAAAAAGAAATGCGGCCTAAGCCCACCCTGAAAGCTTGTGTTCAGAGACAAGAAGAAGACGTGGAGAGAGGCGACACCGGCCCAGCATCCAGTGACTGTTAATCAAATGAAATTTATTACTCTATCATCTGCCTTAAACTGCAAGTAGGTAATAATCAGAAAAATAAAGGCAGTCAATAAGGTAAAATCACTAACTGATACATGAAAAAAACTGGGGCTTCCCAGGAAACCATTCTGTTCTAAAACTGGTTAGGAAAAAGCTCAGAGTATCCTGCTCCCTTTGTGTAAACTGACTTAGTTTTGACACTTCAACTCTCCTTAAAAGCTTATATCCATAATATAGAACCCTCTGTTGCCCATATTTCAAAGTGCTTTGGGCCAAATGTGGAAATAACAAGGTGAAGAAAGAAATCAGGATTAAAAAATGAGTTGATATTATTCCTAGAGACAGTCTCGGCTACATGTCTGCTCAACCCTCAAGACTACCTACTCTGTAACACTGTTCAACACGCAGTCCCACAGCTGGATGTTTACAAGGCGTGCTTGTTTGTGAGACAGGTCTTGTGAGTCTCAGCTGGCCTTGCACACCGATCTTCCTGCCTTCCTCTCCTAGTGCTCACATCACAGGCATGAGCGACCACACCAGGTCTATGCAGGGCTCTGTGTGTGCACTGCAAGCACTCTACCAACTGAGCTGCGTCTCCAGCAGCAAGTGCTGTGCGTGTGCGTGTCAAACATAGCCCTCCAAATTCAAAACCAAATCCTTCTAAAGGTTTGTAGCAATCCTAGATCTTATCTTACATAATATTCTCTCCCTCTTCCCCACCCCCCATTCCCATTTTTAAAAGGTTATTTTATGTAAATGGTTATGCTGCCTGTGTGTGTGTCTGTGTACTACATGTTCATGCTTGGCTGGTGTCTGAGGCCAGAAGACAGCATCAGATTTCCCCGGAAACCAGAATTACAGAGGATTGGATGCCAACTCATAGGTGCTAAAGAGCAAACCTGGGTCCTCTAAAAGAGTAGCCAGTGCTCTTAAACCCCTAAGCCATTGCTTTAGCACCTTTGAATTTCATCTAAACAATTTTATAATTGTATGAATTTGTTATCAGAGTGTGAGATTTACAACTCTGACTTTAGCAAGATAAAGAATTTTATATGAATGAGGAAATGAAGTGAATAAAAATGATGTTTGCTATCGATAGAGACTCAACTGCTGTTAACCACACTAAGTGGACTGGGAAATACTCTTAGTATTAAACTTATGCAGCTGTCTACAATTGAAAATACTATGACACACACATCAGCTTCAAAGACCCCAGTTGTCGGTCGATGACCCTCAGTCTGCCTTCTAAACCACATTGATACTGACATATTCACAAGGAGCTAACATCTTGACCAACCCATTTCAGTCTGAGGTTAACATTTTACATATATGTACCCACATATCCAATTTGTTTAAAGGAGAACTTGGACCTAGATTAAATGACTCCAACCCATAAACTTTACAAAGTTAAGAGGAAAAAAAACTATGACTCATTTTAAAAGCAAGTTTATAAAAACAAAAACTTAGGAAGAAAATCTTTATTAGAAGTGAGCTTTGGAAAAGGAGATTTATCAGCTACTCTAACAAAGCAAGTGCTACACCAGGCAGAAGGTAGGACAAATGTTAGCATCACAAGCCCAGCACTAAGATAGGCAGAAGGTAGGACAAACGTTAGCATCACAAGCCCAGCACTAAGACAGGCAGAAGGAAGGACAAACGTTAGCATCACAAGCCCAGCACTAAGACAGACAGAAGGAAGGACAAACGTTAGCATCACAAGCCCAGCACTAAGACAGGCAGAAGGTAGGACAAACGTTAGCATCACAAGCCCAGCACTAAGACAGGCAGAAGGTAGGACATGTGAAAGCACCAGAGGCCTGGGCTTGGAGGGGGAAGTCAGTGTGTGCACTGGTAAGGAGAAGCCAGAGCTTTCACTCAGTGTATAAACTTCACATAGATTAAGTTTAGGAAACTACTCTGGAGTCTGTAGTCAACTCCTGCTCTGAGTAACCTAGCTGGGCTGGGATGCAGCTCAGCAACAAAGCATGTGCTGATAGCCCATGCCATGATTTCTAGTCCTGTGGGGGGGGGGGGAGGCGCTGGAGTTTAACTTGGCATTTAACTGTTATTTGAAAAAACTAAGATATATGCTGTTTTTAAAATTATCCCACAATAGAACAGCAAAAATAAGTTTAACAAGAAGAGCAAGGGGCCAGCTGTGGCACACACATCTTTAATCCCAGGTCTCACAAGGCACAGACAGGTGGTTGCCTGTGAGTTCAAGGCTAGCCTAGTCTACATAGTGAGTCGCAGACCAGCTAGGGCTATATAGTGAGACTCTGTCCAGAGGTAATAAAAAGGTAAAGGGGACCATCACCACAGTTTTTTTCTGGGTTATCTGTGACCGACAAGAAGCTGGGACAATATGTCTCTGTGCTCATTGGGTTTTGCTTGATTTCGTCAATTACATGAATTGCTAGTGGGAGCATTTACCTTCAGAGCTGGACTGCAGTCTTATCAGATTTCATTGGAAGAACACAAAGGAAGCAAATAATAAGAAAACAGAAAACAAAAAGGAGAGGAAAGGTAAATAGGCTGAAGTGAAAGGAAAAAATATATTGAATTTGCAACACATATAGCCCTCAAAGTAAGAAGCAGAAAACATGAAGACTCCCTATGGACAGTAAGTAAATGTCAAATAGACAAAGAAAATGGACAGAAGACAAGAGCAAACAGTTCACAGATGAGGAATTCCAAGTGGCCAACAGTCACATGTGAAGATGCTTAACCTCATCAGAAAAATAAAATGCAATGCAAAGCCCAAGCTAGGATATTTACATCCAGCAGACTAGCAAAAAGTTATAGGAGGTTGGCAAGAATATGGTATAACCAGTAGTGATGGCATTGCCAAAGCTGATCAGTCATGACCCAATAGCCCACTTGAGGCATGTTGAAAGAATGACCACACCAGCAATAGATAAGAAACAACATAGCCCATTAGAGGCAGGATGGATAATTTGTATACTCATTCAATGGAATGCTGTATTGCAGTAGAAACGAACTCATTTTTAAGCTTTCATTTCTTTTAATCATGTGCAAAATCACAGAAAACCAAACACCATGTTATTCATGAATACAAGCTTTGTGAGTGTTTTCATTATTATTTTATTTTATGTGTCTTGGTATTTTGCCTGCATGTATGTCTGCATTTATGTCAGGTGCCTTAAAGGGCTGGAAAATGGCATAGGATTCCCCTAGAACTGGAGTTACAGTTTGAAGTCACCATGTAGCTGTTGAAAATCAAGTCCAGGTCCTCTGGAAGAGCACCATTCTTAACTCCAGAGCCATCTTTCCAGTCCCCATGAATGCATGTTTATAAACTTACAGAGAAAAGTAAGAGGATAATAAAAGTATTCTTTAAAGCCTCAAAAATGTTGTTAGGTCTTAGATTTAAAGTTATTCTTTCTAGTATTTAAGTTGAATCCTACTTTGTCTTTGTTGCAAGGTCATGAAAAAGAAGGTTTTGAATCCCTAGAGCATTTTCCCACACAGAGATAAGAATGAACTACTTGAGAATATATTAGGTCAAAACTTAGCAATAGATAAAAGGTTAGCGCCACCACCACCACCACCACCAAAAAACAGCAAACGGCAATAGATGTAGACTAACTCTACAGGTTAACCTCTCCTGACAATCAGACAAATAAAACCAAATGCAGCCTCCCTCAAATTTCAGTGTTCGAGCATGGAACATTTACAAGGTTTGACTCAGATCAAGAAAAACTGCAGTGCACTCTGAAGGGGCTGATAAGGAACAGAAGGCTCCACATGATAACAGCTTCAAAAAGCTATGATTACAGTCTTACATAGAAAAGTACTATCTTTCAACTATCCATGGTACTATTTATGATATGAGATAAATTATTTAAAATTAACACCTATATTGTTCTTAATTACTGTGAATATCACAGTCAATTTAGGCAATGAGTCCATGCGCTCACCCTTAAGAATTTAAATTTTGTTACTCTGATACACTGTTCATGCATGCCTACATATGCTTACATATTTCCTCTATTTTAAAAAGAACTTTTAAAGAGGGGAGTTTTTTACACTAACATAAAATTGTATGTATTTGCAGTCTACATGATGTTCTGAAGTACACATACATGTGGAATGACAAAACCTAGCTAATTAATTAGTTACCACACATAATTAACATGTTGTGATGAGAACATTTTCCATGTACTTAGCTTTTTCAAGAATAACTGTTAGTCACCATGTATACAATAGAGCTAAGATACCAGATTCCTTTACCTAAATAAAATAAAGTGCAAAGTTAGACAACTACTCAATTTGAGCAATAGATGATTTTCATCTTAAAAAATTTAGTTCTGCCACGCAGTGGTGGCGCATGCCTTTAATCCTAGCATGCGGGAGGCAGAGGCAGGCGGATCTCTGTGAGTTTGAAGCCAGCCTGGTCTACAGAGTGAGTTCCAGAACAGCCAGGGCTACACAAAGAAATCCTATCTTGAACAACAACAACAACAACAACAACAAAAATAGTTCTTCTGTTCCATAGTTCTCTTTTTGAAAAATGGTGGGTTTTGTTGTTGTTTTGTTGATACCTAAAATTAGGTACCTAAAAGTGAGACTTCTAAAAATAAAACTACATATTATCTAAGTGAACGTTCCCGTCAGTTTTAGAAACCTTTCTAATGCAGATAATTCATTCAAGTAAACATGCACTGGGCATAAAAGACGACATGAAAGTAAAGGTACTCACGTGTGACTCCTCTTAAGCAATGACTAAGGCGCTCTAAGAGCAAGCAAGCACTTGGCCCACACACTATCCCAATGCTTATCTCCACGGTGACACACTTGGTTTTAGGCTCAGGGAGGGAAAATGCTTTAGCAGTTTTATATCACTTTGGATGAATAAAAACATACGGCCAGCTACATTTGATGAATGACTACTAGCTTGGACACTGCATGTAAAGGCTCATTACTCCTGAGCTAACTAGGTATTGCTTTCATGTAATTAGCAGTCAGCGATTTATAAGAACATGTGACCTGAAAGAAAGTCATCTTGAAAGCCACAAAAGCCGTTCAGCAAAAATGCATAGAGGTCTTTATATTAGCGGTGCATACGTGTATCAGGAAACATGGTTCCTGGTCTAGGAGTGCTAATGCACAAGACTGTATCCACAAATATTTAAAAAAAACACCTGCTCAATTTTAATGAAGTCATGCAGCTGAGCAAATTACCGCCAGCGTCTGGTATTAAAGAGGACAAGAAGGTTCGCCTGAGTCTGAATCCCTGGAATACGCTTGATTTGGGGCTGTGCTGCATTAAAGGTCGTCATCACAGAGTGCGGGGACGGAAACTGCTTTAATACACCTCTGCTATTTACAGCTGGGTGCTGCCGCCGGGAAGAGCCCTGCAGTTCGGCTCAGAAGGCAGCGACGGACCGAGCCGGCACCAAGACGCAGTCCCAGCGGCCATTCTAGGACACGGGGGTGCGAGGGACCTGAGGATCAGCTTTCACGACTGTCGGCGCAGCAGCAGGAGAGTGCGGCCCCGCCGGCTCAGAACCGCCGCCGGCCGCCACCGGAAGCCCAGGCCCGCCCTCCGAGGGACCGGAAGCAGCGCGCCGGAAAGCTCCGCCCGCACGCATCGCCGCACCCTGAGAACCCACCTTCCGTGGCTGGGGTCCTCGCCCCGCCCCACGCGGCTCACTGGCACGGCGTCCCGGGCCTGCGCGCGCAGTCTCCAAGGGGGTGGGCAAGGCCACGCGATCGGAAGTACCGGGTCCTGGGGCTTCCGCCCAGTGTCTGTTTACTGCTTCAGCCCTGGCCTGTTATGAGTGCTTTTGATGGTGACAATGGTGACAGCCAGCCCACCCTGCTCTTCCAGCATGAGTGACATCAATTCTTTTTTAAAGGCGATTAATGGTTTCACGCTAGATTTACCCAAAGTTTAATTGCACTCAGCAATCTCACGCCTAAGAATATACCTTGTAAAAAATATTGGCAGAAGCCTCATAATTCTTGTAATCCATGTATAGGATTGTCTATAGCAATGGAATAATACCTAGGCCGATGTTCAGCTCAGTGGTTGGATAAAACACAATACGGATACGAAAACTTTGCAGCCATATACTGCATACCCAAATATCCAATTGCATGCTGTACTGAACATTGAAAGACAAAGCATATAGGTTCCCATGTGTAATATGCTCTTTTTAGTACAAATTAAGTTATTGCTTGAGATACAAATACGCAGGTATGTGTAATATTGAGTTGGGAGGGTCACCCCAGCCCCTGGCCTGGGCTTTGCCAAGCACTTGGACTCCAACTCTCAGCCTGCCAAGCGCTGAACCCTCCTCTGTGGAGAGGGTCAGGACCACTCCCACAGGGTATTTAGGTTCCCTTCGGGAGAAGGAAGGCGTGGTTTCAGGTTTTGTATGTGCTTTGCTCCCCCTATGCAGCCACCCAAGAGCACGGCATTTTTGATGGTTTGATTGGAGTATTTTGCACAGGCAGAGAGGCTCGGTTAGGAAATATTCCTAACAGTATACATGCAAACTTTTTTTTAAAAAAAGCTTTTTAAAAAAATTAGTGATTTTAAGGGGATACGGTATGTTTTCACTTTCAGTTTTTTAACTGCCTATCATCCTTTTCACATTTACTTATATTAAAAGCAATACAATAAAAATTACTCGCCTAGCAGTGGTGGCACAGGCCTTTAATCCCAGCACTCGGGAGGCAGAGAGAGGCAGGCGGTTCTTTTTGAGTTCAAGGCCAGCCTGGTCTACAAGAGCTAGTTCTAGGACAGTCTCCAAAGCTACAGAGAAACCCTGCAATGGAAGGGAAGTGTGTGTGGGGTGAGAGAGTTCCTCATATTTATTTTTTTAGAGAGGAACTAAATGAGTGACAGGTTTCCAAAAGTTCTCTGTAAACTTGCCTGTAGCAAGCAGGCACTTGTAGAGCCTGCTGCTGTGGGACTGAGGTGGATCACTTGAACCCAAGTGTTGTTGGGCGACACAGAGACTGTTCGGGTGGAAGCGCCACCCAGTTCCTGCCATCCATATACCCAAACAGTCTGGAATGTTTGGGTTAAGGCCACACCAAGGCCCCTGGCATCCATATATCCAAAGAGTCTGGAATGTTTGGGTGCGGTGGAAGTTCCATCCCAAGGCCTCAGTTCAGTCTCCACCCACTAGAAAGCCCACCAAACTATGACCCCTCTCAGAGATGCTAAAGACAACTCCCACAGCGTTTTTAAACAGCAACCCAGAGACCAAACACTTGGTTTTCTGGTCTTCCTTTACCAGCTCCTCTCTGGGGGCATGGAAAACCATCCCTGAGTGTTGGTTTTCATCAAACCTGGGCTTTTTCTAATGATTTGATTTGGTCTGATTCAGATTATTGTGTTGGCAGAGAGGCTTATCTGGGTGCAGAAACTTCAGAAGCTTGTGAGCCTTCCAGAGTTCTAGCACCGGATCCCAGGTAAGGATCAAAGAACCGAGTCCACAGTGTTTGACTCTGACCTCCACACAGGCATGCTGTTGAGTGTGTGTGCCTGCTCACACAGAATCCCTTACTGCCGTAGCCTATAACCTTGTCTAGACTTTACATTTGCCTAGGAATTTTTAAAAAAAAAAATCTTGTTTCCAGTCTGCACTCTAGATCTATGAAGTAAAATCTTAGGAAAGGGATTCAATATAATTTCACTTCCAAAATGACTCTGCGGAAAGCCCACTGTTGAACATTATAACATGTATATAGCATACTAACAGTGATTACAAACCTCCAGTGTCCCAAAGGACTGGGGAACCTGAAACTTTAGAGTCTTGCTCATTTATCCCAGTGTACTGCATACATTCTTTTTGTCTTTTAAGACAATGTTTTGCTGTGTTGTCGAGGTTGCTCTCAAAATTGTGAGCTCAAGTGATCCTCTCAAATCACAGCACCTACAAGTGGACCACCATGTTTGGCTTATAAATATTTTAGAAATAGACCCCAATACGTGAAACACAGAGAAGCTCAGGAGCCTAGTGCAGTGTTAATGTCCCTGATATTATTCTGTTCACTACACAGTTTTAGGATGACTAGTAATATTTTATGGAACAATGTTCCTTCTGACCGTTTGGGCCATTGACCAAACACATGGTAATTATCTAGTTTTGATATATCACTTATAAAGTCATAATAAAGATTGAACTTGATATTTGCATTATCTATTGGTTATCTTGATTTAAAAAATATTTATTGTATGTGTATGTGTGTGTGCATGAGTGTATGTACATGTACTGCAGGCATGTAGGAGCCCTCAGAGGTCAGAAAAAGCCATTAAGCCCCTGAAATTGGAATTAAAAATGGTCACAAGCCATCATGTGTGTAGATGGAACTGAACCTGCATCTTCTGCCAGAGCAGTAAGTGCTCCTAACAGGCACACCATCTCTCCCATCTCTCTAGCCAAATTATGGTTTTGGCACATGGAGCACATTAACGGTGTCCAGCTTGTATCTCCAAATGATTGAATAAGGGTTTCAACTAGAAATAAAGTTTCCTTTTGCTTAGCATAACCAGACATTTAAATTTTTGTTTACTTTATGCATATTTGCCTACATGCATGTCTGTGTAACCAAAAATATGTTCACTACCTGAGAAGTCAGAGGAAGATATTTAATCACTTGGGACTGTAGAGACAGACTGTTGTAAGCTGCTATGTGTGGTGGGATTTGAACCCAGGTCCTCTAGAAGAGCACTGAATGCTCCTACCCAATGAGTCATTGTTTCAGCCTATAATCTGACACTTTTTAAAGGAATAAATATTTCAGATCCATTGGCTTTCCATCTGTTTCCAACTCAACAAGCCAGTATGAAAGAGAAATTTTTTTATCTTTCTCAAAGTAATATGTAGTTAGTCATTTCATAATGTTAAATATTTGGAAAGCTATAATGGATAGTGAATAAATTACTTCCCTCTACTTCCCAGGTGCACACACATGAACACACAAAATTATGTATCCCTTAGGTTACAGAGTACTTAAGTCTATGTACAAGTCTTTGCAGCTGAGCAGAACGCATGCTCACTGTTCCTCTAAGTGCTGCCTGTGACCAACTTGGGACACTTCTACTTTTCTCCTTTGAAATGCTTTATTTTCTCCATGTCTGGGTTTTGTTGTTGTTGCTCCTTGCCAATGTTTCTAACTTTAGTCTACTAGTGACACCCAGTGGTTCTTGTGAAATCAGAACACACACTAACTTTTCTTCCATAGTCTGGACTCTCAGGGACAAATTTCAATCATCTCTTCTGATCTTTGGGGAGTCCAGGGCCTCTGTACTGAGTAGTAGGCTGTTTTTAAACAGATTTTCCAGATACATACACTTTCTCTTAGAAAACCACTAGTTTTCACTACAGGGAGGTCTGAAGTATATTCACTAATCCTCAAAAACAGAAAATATTGATACTAGTAATCTTGTTAGGCCACTGTGATGAAAACCACAAAACCAAACAAGGTATACATCAATCTTAATGTTCTATTCTGTGAAAAATACCATGACCAAGGTAGTTTCTAAAGAAAATAATTTAATTTGCTTATGAAAGACCCCCAGTGCTGGGGAGACTCTCACTCAAGTCTGGGGATAACATGACCCCCCCAGTAACTCACGAGAGACTGTCCTTGCTGCAATCACACAAGGCTTTAATCGATGAGATGAGGCGGGAACCAGTGCACTGGGGCCGAGACTCATAACCTACGCCGGGGAAGAGTTCAACCACGAGTGACCTGGAGAAGGGGTTTTTATAGGAAGAAACCACAGCCCAATAATCTGAAAGGGGCAGGGAGGGTGTCACAGAAAATCACAAGGGGACAACTCCCTGCCTCTCAAGACCACTCAAGGTCATAATCAGCTAGTTCCTGCAACACAGTATTCTAAAAATACCAATGATGATCACAAGGGGGAAACTCCCTGTTTCTCAAGATTACAATCTAACTTTATCTTCAAATAGTTCCTTAAACACAGTCAGTGAACCGGCTAATCCTAGATTCCTGATTCTTCTCTTCCTGCTTAAATTTTTGGCTATTTTCTTCCTGCTGGGGGGGGGGGGGGTCTGGATTTATCCAGGTCTTTCACTTACAGTTTCAGAGGGTTAGAGTCCATGATGACAGAGTAAAGGTATGGTGGCAGAAGGATGAGAGTTCCCATCTTGATCTGAGAATCTCTTGAAATTTCTAAGCTCTCCCTCCCCAGTGACACAACAAGGCCATACCTTCTAAACAATAACTGGCAACCAAGAATTTAAATATATGAGTCTATGGTGGCCATTCTCCTTCAAACCACCACAGTACCTTTATTTTACATTTCTCTCTCTCTCTCTCTTGATTTTATTATATGTTTATTGGTTTATTGTGCTAGGGTTCAAACCCAGGTCTTCACGTACACTAGATAATTTACTGTATTACCTTTTTTATACATATTTTTTTAATGCTGCAAGATCCCCGGTGGCAGTAGGCAGCAGAAATGCTGTAGGTCCCAAATGGTGGTAGCGGGCCATGTGGCGACAGACAGCGGGCCCTGGGAATTGCCGGTCCCCAAGCAGTGGCTGGTCCCAGGCAGGGAGACAACATGGTGGGCGGGCAGAAGACAGAGACATG